CCATATACACAAGCTTGTGATGCACCTGATGATAGTACCACAAGAGACTCTTTTTTAAGTACTTAGTCCGACCTCAGAGCAACAGCCATAACATCCTTGTTTGTTTTGTATTGATTGTTGGAAGTTTGATGTAAATGTCAAACCCAGTCCCTGTTGAAGTTGACTATTTATTGCCCTTACTACGATGTATTGTTGCAACTAGACTGCTAAAGTGTCCGTGAACAGGTTTATTCATTCTGCTCTTTGTGTACAAATTCTATTGACAAAATATGTACCATGTAGATTTGAAAATAATGATGCCAATATGTAAAGAAATATTGTTATAATCGTGTCACAATTTGTGTGAGTTGACTTATGTGTATTGTGCCTCAGAAACAGATATATTTTCTGCATATGTTATGTTATTACCTGATATTGATAGGGGACCTGTCATTAGCTTATTGTTTTTTAATGTAGTCTTGTAACAAATGAGAGTGTGTGTTGGGGGGGGGGGGGGGGGGGGAGAAATTTTCTCAATAGCCATTGACTTTTTTTCTGAATATTCCCAATTTGTGAAAAGTTTTTGATTTTTTAAAATAAAAATTCCCAAGTTATGTGCTGAAGGCACTTGGTTTAAGGTTCCTAGATACAGCCTGTTTTCCCTATTTACATGAGATAGTGTCTGAATTCCCCCAGGCAATGAGTTCCAGGCCATGAATATTAGTCTGTCTTTGCACAGCTTTTACAGCTGGATTATACTGCAGCACAAAACAACATTCACTCACTGCCTACCTAACTAACAGGAGCCAGGGTAGAATAGGTCTTCCGTAACCAATGCTTGCCGTAAAGAACGACTGTGCTTGTCGTAAGAGGCGACTAACGGGATCGGGTGGTCATTCTCGCTGACTTGGTTGATGCATGTCATCGTATCCCAATTTCGTTGATCGATGCCAATGATGTCAATCACTGTACTGTCTGGTCCAGACTCGATTATTTATAGAGCTCCGTCATATAGCTGGCATATTGCTGAGTGTGGCGTTAAACAACAAACCCTGCCGATCTATAAGGTGATGTTTCAAGGTAGAAATGCCTTGCTGAGTGAGACGAGTCCATCATGCTCCATCCTGTTACCGTCATATGATATCGGGCCCCTTCATTACAGACAAGTGTGAAGCCCATTTCCGGTGTCCCCCACCGTGATATTGCTGGAATATTGCTAAAAACGGCGTAAAACCATACTCACTCACTCATTACAGACAAGTTAAAAAAAGCTGCAGTCAGTCAGTCACATGACAATACAGACAGGATGTTTACAAACAACAGCCGATACATCGTTGGTGCGTACGATTGTCATGATGCAAAATTATCATCAAATCGAGTTTGATTAAAATGTGCATGAGTGAAAAAGTATGTTTTGTTAGTATGTTTTCATCACTTACATCTTTTCTCGTGCAGCTTAATTTGCAACATAACTTAAGCAGCAAGTGACGAACACATGTCTTCTGCGGGCTTTGAAGTGTCTTCATTGATTGCATCATTAAACCAGGGTCAAGAATTGTTTATGGGCCTAAAAAAAGGTGAGGCTCAGTAACGTGTGACATGGGAGTACTATATGTATGGCATGACAGATTAACTATAGTTATATAAAAGAATTGGGTGGTCCTGTACTTCTTTTGAGTAGTATTGGTGATGATGATGAAATGTCCACATCACTGACATGTCCCCACAACAGTCATGAAGGAAACACAGCAAACTAGTTGACAGGAAGCTTCCAAGGTTAGTTGCACAGACGGTTATCTCTGTAAAACATCAGAGTAACTTGATACTGATTACCAAACTTACTTGTGTCAAGGGGGCACGGGTGGCCCAGTCGTCTAAGGCGCCGCGATTCGCTGTGCAGAGTCGCGTCCCTTCGGCACGCCAGAAACCTATGATTGTGGGTTCGAATCCCGGTTCGCCCCGATTATGTTTCTAGGTCTGTCAGCACCATACCCGTGCTCGTGGGTTTCACCGAAGTGGTAAACGTCTGAGACCTGCATCACTTCAGGCTTTCCTCCCACATTAAGCTGACACGCCGTGATATAACTGGAATACTGTTAAAAGCGGCGTAAAACCCAACGCACTCTCACTCACTCACTCACTCACTTGTGTCAACCACTCAGTGTTGGTTCATTATTACTAAATTCCTCCGATATTTGGATATTTAGAAGAGTTCTAACTTAAATCACAATTTATTTATTGTTGATTAACACTCATCATGATATTGAAGATTTTGCAAAGTTCATTATGTTATATTCATGTTTTGAAAGCTATAAATAGGGTCAAAGCTTTTTGACATGGTCCCCTTTTCGGTTTGTTTGCACAGCTTCCTTGAAATGTACATACTATTTGAAGTGTCAGTCAACTGCTTCTACAGTTGATTTTATACTGTCAGAAACTACTGACATGTTATGTATGGAATGTTGATATTCTGTAATTTCCCACACAGAGTATCTTTCCTTGTATTGACCACTTCTGTGGTGGAGTGGACATGGTGGAGGGAGCGTCTGCCTGGGTACCAGGGCGGGGATTCGATCCCCAGCTGATTCATACAAAAACATGTTAAAAGATGGTACATGTTGTTACCCTGCCTGGTGCTCGGCATTAAGGGGCTAAAACAAGAAGTGGTCGGTTCGGAGTCAGTTTTCTGTGTCTGAGTGGGTATTCATGGTAAACTGTGTCATGGTATCTCATTGGACTAGTACTGTTTAACTGGTACTAGTCCAGACTAGTACAGACTATTACAAGCAGACACACACAAGTGCACCCAGGTCACAATGTAAGTGCAATAAAGTTTTAAGCTCACTTTTAGTGTGGTATGACGCAACTATAATGTGGAAAGTATACTCCCAGTTTCCACAGCTTGTTCTGACATCGAGAGTCCGGTGGTTGCAATGTGTGACCTGACTCACCATGCGCCCAAGATTGTTGCTTATGCCTTCAACCACTGTTTATCTTACCAAAAAGTTGATTATTTGCAGGCTGCTGTGATATATCTGAAACCAATGCTGATGTAAGACTGGTTGTCTTGCCTGGTCCTCCAATGTTTTATGTTTTATATTTCACTACCTACAACATGTCTGACATCGTACTGACCTGAGTGTGTCACAGACCCTATGAATGTCAACAATACCTGGGGTATCATTCTTTGGCAGTCTTGTGAGCCCTTCACCAGTAGAAAGCTGTATATAATGAGAACTTGACAATTCAGCCGTATTAGACGTGTTAGATGTAGGATCTTTCATCACTGTGGCAAGACCAATTGGATTATAGCCGACCCAAATTGTAGCTTAATTAATAATTATTTCTTTAGGCATTATTCAATGTGTATTTTAAGGAAATACCCTCACATCAACACTGACAGATAAAGAAATATTATTTCCCCACCTGTTCTTTGCATTTTGACCAAGAAAATCCCTAAAACAAGACAGTTTTCCTAAAAACTCTCCATGTTGATGCTTGTAGGTAGCCTTTATGAGCATTTCTTGCCAATTTGTTTCTTGAACAAGTTACTGTGAGGGCAGATATTATGTCACACTTGCCTATGGTAGTTTTGTATATTGGCTTCATCATTTACTGTACTTAGAAATATAACAATATAGAATTATATATTTTCGATTATAGTTATGATAATTTTCAATGAACAATATTACCGTAATTAGTTGTCTGACATAGTGTACATTTTGAGGGATTGTGCAATTTGCTGGGTATTTTGTGTCCGGGGCCCCGTTCCACAAAGCGATCTTAGCGCTATGATTGTCGTAAGTCAGTGTTAAAGAATGGGACTTACGTTCAACTTAGCGCTAAGATCACTTTGTGGAACGGGGCCCTGATCTGTTGATTCTTGTCAGAGATGCTGCAGTATGTTCTAATGAATACTATGTGAATAAAACTGACTTGCTGACTTGAGTTTGACTTTATTTCCACCTCAACAGGGGAGCAGATTAAGAGAGGATATTGTTCATCCATCATGCTGTCCAATAAATTTGCTTGATAAATAAAACCTGTTACAAGTTGAAAAATTAGAACATACGAGGAATAATATTAGAAATATTAGACTGAATGTTTTGAGTTCACTTTCACGGACTTTCAAGAAGCTGCATGGCTTTGATTTGAACTCAGGTCATAGGTCACGTTGCTTCATACTGCTCCTGCAACAGTTCCTTTGCCAAATGTTTGGAGCCACGGACCAGCGTTCTACCATGGACATCCAATGTCAAGCAAAGAAATAGACGCAGTATCGATTTACCGTATTCGACGTAACAAGCGCCCCGTTCTAATAAGCGCCCACGGCGATATTTGTTAATATATTGGCTAGTTAACGATCTCAATTATAACCCCTTCCGACTGATCAATGTACACAAGACTTTTTATTCGTGTATAATACGCACTCATGTGTTATATGCACCCTTAATTATGGGCAATTAAATTCTTGAAAAATATATCTGTCGTATATAAACAGTCAGGCTTGAAAAAATAAAAGAAATGATTGTCAGGCAATGACTTTTGAAAATATAGTGGGGCTGGCAGTGTTTTTTTGTTTTTTTGCTTGTTAAAACTAGTATGTAACTAAATACACAGTTGTGTACCATCAACCTGGGAAAGGGCCTCTCTACATAAACAAGCATACAAACTCCTATTGCTGCCATGACCATAACACAAGATGTGCAGTAAAGCAGTGCACATGTAAAGGGAAGTTACATTGGCTATATTGGATAAAAATGAAACGTGTGACAGACTTTATGGTGATGCGGGCGGTGCCTGAGAACCAAGACTAATGTTTTTCTTAGCCTTAGTGTAGGTGTTGTTCATTGGTAGGGTGCAGTATGAACAGTTGTTTGCAGACGCATGTGCAGCGCACAGGTCACAGGTCACAGGTCACAAACCAGGCTAAGCATTGATGGTCATGTGGAGCAGGTGGTTGGTTTTTCGGTCCTGGCCTAGGACTCCTTGCAATGACAAAACAAAGACCTGATTTGTTAAAAAAAATGTATTGACCCCAAGGGATGACATGAGAAATGACAAATATACATATGGCATGTGTAACCATGGTAACCTTATGGCAGTCATAAAGGAATGAGTATATTTACCTCTCCAGGATGTTCATTAAGATTATAACAGCTCCTTAAATTTTATTTGAGTGTTTCAACCATTATCAGTTCAACTCATATTTTTACAAGTCATCAAAAAGAATCCAAATACACAGCAATGGTGTGATAACAAATTATTGTAAAAGTCACTTCCACAGAGACAGCAATAGAGGGAGTGATTGAGTTAACACACTATGAACTCCGTAATATTAAGGCATGCCAGCTTTCAATTGGAAGTAATCCTGAAGTGATGCAGGTTTGAAACGTTTATCTCGGGTACGGTGCTGACAAACCAAGAAACAGAATTTGATTCGAAACCTTAATCATAAGTTCCTGGCACACCAAAGGGAGGCAACTCTGCATAGTGAATTGCAGCACCTTAGATGCAGGCCAATTGTGCAATGGAAGAATCTCCATACAAGCTACTCCATGTAAAACATTTGTGAGTTGACCATTGCATTCTGTCCAATGACGTGGTTGAATGATACGGAGCAAATTCTTGTCCACAATCCATGATATATCACATTTCTCCACACTGTGACACAGTAATTGGCAGTTTGGGCTTATTGTTTGGTCCTGTCGGCACGTTCTCTATCTTCCTCATCACCAAGTGTCCATCAGCGATCTTCCCTGAAAAGCAGGATGCTGACATGTTACTTAGAATCGTAGGTTGTGATTACAACAGACTGTTGTAAGAGGCGACTAACGGGATCGGGTGGTCAGGTTCACTGACTTGGTAGATGCATGTCATCATATCCCATTTGGGTAAATCGATGCTCATGATGTCAATCACTGGATTGTCTGGTATAGACTCGATTATTTACAGACCGCCGTCATATAGCTGGAATACTGCTGAGTGTGACGTTAAACAAGTGAACGAACAACAGTCAGATTGGTCACCCTATTCTGATATCTTGATCCATTGTTTGATATATTGTCCACAAATCAGTTATGGAAAAAAACATGAAATGATCTATCAAATTATATTAATAATATACAACCAAACATCTGGACATAATTACCCTCATCATTGACAGCACCAAAGACATTTTTATTTAACATTTTCATGATCAGATGCTGTTTAAGGAAGAAATACTGTAAATCTTGAAATTAACGCGAGCGTGAATTAAATGCAAGAAATGCGAGTGGTCTTTGTTCTCATTATTAAACATCGCATTTATATCAACAATAAGACATTTTGGATAGGAGAAATACCAACTTAGACATGTGCTGAAAACATACAGCTATGTATTCCACAACACTGATTTCTTCAGCAGCACTTGTAGTAAGTATACAAACATTATCATTCAAACACTAATTACATCCTGTGAATTGTCACTGCTGGGGTCAAGACAAGCGTTCTACTCACTTATGTCATCACTGATCACACCTGCAAGTCCCAACAGACGCCACCCACGTAACACGGTGTCTTTGTTCTTTGCGACTGTGTCAAAGGCCGACACGATCCAGCGCGCATGTATTGTTTTAGCGGAAGTACTTTACTCAGCGCTAATAAGCAATGCTATTTGGTGTGTGATTGGATTAATGTAAGGATGGTTTACAATGTGGATTCTTCTGTAAACCTGACAGGACATTTTCTTTATACATAAATCCACTGATGCTTGAGAGGAGGTGGGTGTTGCATTCATATTGAGTCGCATTTTTTGCTAGGGGCCAGTGGTCACATTCTTTTGGAGACGCATTCCACGATTTACAGTATTGAGAAGATACAAAAATTATTGTAACTGTTACTGATTATGAATGATGATTGATCGGCCAACAGGAATGAGTAATGATGACCGATGAATCCGGTATATTTTGACACTTACCAAACACAACATGCTTCCCATCCAGAAAGTCACACTTTGAACATGTGATGAAAAACTGACATCCATTTGTATCTTTACCACTGTTAGCCTGGATAAAAATAATGAAAGCATGGGAAGCAGGTAAGATTGGTTGGTTTGTTGTTTAACGCCGCACTCAGCAATATTCCAGCTATATGACGGCGGTCTGTAAATAATCAAGTCTGGACCAGACAATCCAGTGATTAATATGAGCATCAATTGGGATCGATGACATGCATCAACCAAGTCAGAGAGCTTGTCCACGCGATCCTGTTAGTCGCCTTTTACGACAAGCATAGTCACCTTTTACGGCAAGCGTGGATTGCTGAAGACCTATTCTACCCCGGATCTTCACGGCCCCTACCCTTTATGGATGTAAACCATTGACCTTATACATAGTATGCTATGAAAACATGTCAGGGAGTCGTTCAGTCTTTTACGGCAAGCATGTAAGAGATTGTGATGGCAAATGATCGATTTTGTATGTCTTAAAAACTTTATTCATGCATATTCCCTGACTTGTGATATGCTTGTTTGTTTGTTGTTTAACGCCGCACTCAGCAATATTCCAGCTATATTACAGCGGTCTGTAAATAATCAGATAATCAGATAATCCAGTGATTGACATCATGAGTGTCAATCCACGCAATTGGGAGTTTCTTCAGGTATACAATAGTGAGTTCGGGATAAGATTTCAGTCATGTCAGCTTGTGTCAGATTAATGTGGGAAGAAAGCCTGAAGTCATACAGGTCTTTGATGGTTACCACTTGGTAAAAACCATGAGCATGGGTATGGTGCTCACAAACCTAGAATTATAATTGGGGCACAATCTAATTTAAACCCATGATCGCAGAATCCTGGCATAGCTAAGGGATGTAATTGCTGCATCTGAGCCGACTGGAATACCCTTGCCCCTTAATCCAATTTCCCTTTTAGTACTTTATGATGATTCTTATTACTTGTTTACTCACCATGCTAAGTATTCCAGCTGACCCGTGCTTTAGTCTGAAGTTCTCGTCAGCAAATGCCCCTCCATAGATGCTCATCAAGCCAGTACCATCTCCCTAGACGATGATTAACAACATGGCAATGTGACTAAAAGTAGGTGGGGCAAGGTCAAATGGGGTTCAATGTCGGATTCGGGATTATTGCTTTTATACAGCAACATACACGCAAGTGTGAGTGGCTGCTTGTACTCGTCTGGACTAAGGCTGGTCTTATCGTGCAAGCCTACTGAGATACCATGCTGCAGTTGGACATAAATACCCCACTCTGAGCTGACGAGTCCTTGTTTTGGCCCCTTAATGCCGAGAAAGGACAAAAGGATTTACCATCTTTTCACGTCTTTTGGTATGAAGAGGCCAGAGATAGAACCATCAACCTTCCTCACTCTGGGCAGATGCTCTTTCCACAAGACCAGAGAGGCGGTCATCTAGCAGTGGGACTTTCAAACAGACACTGTGAAGTTGTTTTAACAGCACCTTACAGGGACAGACAAAGCCACTAGTCCGTTAGTCAAAGATGAGAAACAATCAAGTTGTTTTATCCCACCATCTTATTTCACATAACCACTAGTCCGAAATGAGCTGCAGACTACGTTGGCTATGACCAATGGTGTTTAGTCCTGCCCAAGAGCATAGGTCAGTTATATCATGGTGCATCAGCTAGAGGGGGGGGGGGGAGGTTGGAGATGTTTACCACTGTAGTGAATCTCTGGAGCTTGATGGTGACAAAGGTGCAATTAGAGCCCATGACCAACACATCCTGGCATAACTAGGGGAGACAACAAATTACGTTGGGTGAGGTTAGGGTGGTGCTAATAAGGACGAGTAACAGAATGGTTAGGGGCCGCTTATTGCAGCAGGACACTTACTTCAGCATTGGTTGGTTGGTTGGTTTGTTGTTGAACGCCGCACTCAGCAATATTCCAGCTATATGACAGCGGTCTGTAAATGAGTCTGGACCAGACAATCCAGTAATTGATGTCATGAGCATCGATCCACGCCATTGGGATCGATGACATGTATCAACCAAGTCAGCGAGCCTGACCACCCGATCCCGTTAGTCGCCTTTTACGACAAGCATAGTCGCCTTTTACGACAAGCACGGGTTGCTTAAGACCTATTCTACCCCGGAATCTTCAGTCTCTTACTTCAGCGATGAAGATTAGAAGTATACAGCCCACATCCATGTAGTGTCTCTTACCTTCACAAAATCTCCACCTTGAATCATGAAGTCTTTAATGACTCTGAAAACAATATACTTATTACAGCTTTAATATCAATACACCAAAGGAAAAGAAAAATTCTAATGCTTTGAATTACAATATTCATATTACAGCAGAAATGACACCAAATTGACAAAGATGGTCTTGCTTGGTGACAACTGCACCATGCGACCTGGCGAAAAACAAAACTGTATCCTGATACTATGTTTCAGTGTTTCTTCATCAACATTTGTTTGCATGGTTCATTGTGTGTCATATTCCTGTTAACTTTTATTTATCAGCATCATAAACAAATAACACAAACCTACACAAATCAGAAACCTGTTCATACAAATGTAGGCACCTGTTCATACAAATATAGGCAGTCTTGTCTTACCTGTGGAAAGTGGTATTCTTGTACCCGATAGGAACACCATCTCTCCTGTACTCACCAGTGCAGAATTGCCTGTAAGGTAGAACACAGCTAAAGCATATGAGAGGTAAATGCATGTCTTGAATATTTTGAGAAATATTTGCATGTATTTTTATCCAGTTTACATTCATCATGTTAAAATATTCACAATGAGGGGCTAGAAATGTTACAAACTTAAAAGGAATTATGTTCGAATGTACAAAACCATTCCTTATTCTAGTTTCTACACATGGACACATGATAAGGCTGGTTTCAAGATTTATCACGATGTCATCAACCAGTATGTTTGTATGAGGACTGTTTTACCTTCCTGAAGAGATATTTCCCTCATTCTACCATGCAAACTGTAAACTATATTTATAATGAACACGCTTAAAACGAACTGACGGATGTAACGAACCATTTTTAGTCCCGTCCATTTGCTGTATACCGTATTCGATGGAATAAGCGCCCCACTCTAATAAGCGCCCACTGCGATATTTGCTAATATATTAGCTAGTGAACAATCCCAATTAGCACCCCTTCTGATTGACCAATGTACACAAGACTTATTTATTCGCGTATAATACGCACTCGTGTGTTATATGCACCGTTAATTATGGGGCATTAAATTCTGGAAAAATATATCTGTTTCACATAAACATTTCAGGCTGTCATCATAAACCACGAAATTTATGTTTCAACTCTGTTTTTTTCACCAAAATAATATTCTAATAATAGCCCCCTATTTCTAGTTTTGAGAGCGCCCAGGGCGCTTATTACGTCGAATACGGTATATGCAGTATGAGAGCTTATAATTAACTATGTTTATAACAAACTAAATCTAGTGGTCCAAGTGAGTTTGTTATAACCATAGTATATTGTATTTTCATTTTCCATTATTTTTCTAGATTTAAACAAATAAAATATTCACTCACCTGAAATTTTCAGCAGTTCTAGGAACTGTATCGGCAAACAGTTCAAAAGTGATCCTTCCTGCATCCTAAGTGAAAAACAAAAACATTCATTGATTTTTAGGCTTGTTGTTTTTAAATTTGAAGTCAAACTCTAATCTATAAGTTGTATTTACTCTACCCTGTTGATATTTGTTTTTTCATCTTGATCGGGTTATTCGCTACTTTTGTAGTAATATTCCAGCCATATCAAAGGTGACTATATGTACTCAAAATGTGAGGTTTGTCGGACAAAACTTTTGCAAAATGAAAATAGGTTTAATGGGTCCACAAACCCCACGGATTTCCCTAATGGTACCTCAGCTGATACAAAACCCGCAAAAGTCCATGACCATGTGTCTCTGTTTATCAGTATTCCCCTTACAACAAGCCCATAACAACCATTGTTCATCGGACAAGGCAACATTTTCATAATGTACAAAAAATCTTTCATGTTATAGCTCTCGATGAAAGATATAAATTTCACTTACAGTACCACCTATTTGAATATCGAAGAAAACGATCGGATTATTTGGATTCGGGTCAGCCATCTTGCCGCGAACTGGGGTCCGTCTCTACATGTAACAGTTTGGCGATCGCGCAAATAGAATCGGAAACTATCTTATTCACCGAAGGAAACTCCAATTTTGATACGTATGTCTTGATTGGTTCAAAACCACTAGTTCATTATTTTGATTGGTTAAATATCATAAGTCTTTCCCAGGGGTTTGTCATTGCACATGTTTAATAACCAAACTGGAAAGATTACAAAGCGCTTAGAAATATTTTTATGTAGATATTATACAAACATTTTAATATGCCATATGTGATACAGATATCAGTGTGTATAATAATAATAGTAGAAAGACACAGCATACATATTGACAATTGCTGTCCACATGCATAATAAATGCTCATCGCTTAATACACACCAAATAAAAGAAATTCACTGTTACTGAACGTTCCTAAGTTCTTAGAGAACTATATATAATCAGATAATATAACACACTGAAAGAAGAAATTACAATACCGTTGTTTAATCATAAACATAAAAATAGATATTTTATTGTAACGTGAAAGGTGAAGGTTATCACCCGGTCAAAGTTCAAAATGGTGGAAAAATGTAATGATACTCAATTTGTGTCAGGATGTTAACAGCTCTTGTCCAGACAGCTTCTCTGTTGATAAAAGTTACTTACTCTGTCCTTCACAGTTTGGTATCTTACATCTTTCCACCTACATTTAAGGACATAAGTGAAGATGTCATATTGATAACTGGGGGCGGAAAAGGAATTGGTAAGAAGATCGCCATCGGATTTGCAAGAAGACGCCCATCCCACGTAAACAATTCATTTTTCTTAAAACTGCAGTTTCATATTTTTGTTCCTGATAAAGATGAGGACAAGAAAACATTTCTAACCATTGTATACGTTTTGTTTCATGCTATGTTGGCCAGACGTTGTATGTTTGGAATTTTAAATTGTTAGGCGCATCCATGGAAACTACTCACTCAATGTGTCATAGTGTTATGACTGTTAATTGTCATTATTGGACCATTTGGACTGTGTATTTGTGTGAACGTACATTCATGAGTATATGCAAAATTCATGTATATATTTATGTTTGTGTGAATTTATGTATTTGTGTATGTTTGAATGTTAGTATTTGTCTATCACTTTAGTGAAAAGGATAATGAATATATGATGAGTATATAAAACTAATACACATTTTTTGGTTTTAAATCAGAAATTTCACTGGTCCATGCTGGGTAACAGTAGTCCTCCCTCTTGACCATAGAAGTACAATGTATTTTGGTGTTCATTTTATTTTTCTCTATACTCTCTTTTATATCTTATGATATATGTGGTTTAATTTTGGCCAACAAAATATGGTGCTAATTTTCACCACTTTGGTGCCGTTGTCACAAATACCCCACAAAACAGACCAACTGATGTGGACTCCTTTGAGGTTTTGTTGGAATTGTTCTGCTGCCGCTGGTAATGTTGCTAAGGCCTACTACACAGAGATCATAGATATTTAAGATCATCCTGCACTCAGTTGTGTAAGGGAGTTTACTAAAAACATAATGTAAGCCAATCTGTTGCCAATATGAAGCGATGACACTGAGAATCGCGAAAAAAAGTTAAATTGTCAAAGATACAATGTTATTGATCAAATGAAATGGGGATCAATGACCAATTTAAGACGGGTTGTGTATTGCAAATACAAAGCAAAGCTAAGCTGAAAGGGAGAATTTCCACAACATACCTGTTAATTACATTTAATTTAATATTATTTTTTCAGATTATATTATGGGGTCGCCATGGAAACACTCTCGAACAAACACAAAAAGAAATAAAAGAACTGGGTGTGAAATGTTCATACATGATCTGTGATGTCAGCAACAAAGAAAATATCTATGACTGTGTGAGTTTTTTATCATTATTTTGATCCATTAGATTTTAGCTCACCTGAGCAAAGACGAGGTGAGCTTCTTTTGTGAGCTGTTTGTCCATTGTCATCATCACTGTTCATTGCATGAAAACAATTCCTCTTCTGAATCCACAAGGGGGCGGTTGGGTAGCCTAGTGGTTAAAGCGTCACACCGAAGACCCGTGTTCGATTCCCGACATGGGTACAATGTGTGAAGCCCATTTCTGGTGTCCCCCGCTGTAATATTGCTGGAATATTGCTAAAAGCGGGGTAAAACTGTACTCACTCACTCACTCACTGAATCCACAAGACTGACATTGTCTGGAATTGTTGGAGTCTTCTGTATGAAGTTATTCAAATCTCTTGTAAGGGGAGATAGTGTTTGTTGTTTGTCTGCTCCTACACTTTTGACAATGCATGATAAAACATTTAAATTTGGGCAAATCTTTCAATAAAAAAAGACCTATTTAACCCATCCAACAGTATATTATGAACTCTCCTATATTACCACTGGTTCTGTTATAATGTCAAACAGGCCAAACAAGTCAAGGATGCTATTGGGGAGGTGACGATTCTTGTGAACAATGCTGGAGTTGTCTACGGCAACCCGATTCTCACAAGCAGTGATGATGATGTTGTCAAAACAATGCAAGTCAATGTTATCGCACATTTCTGGGTATGTATTCCCTTTGCCTCTTCTTCAAGTACAAGCAAATCACATTATAGTTGGGGGTGACTGTGCCAGCCATGTCCCAGTGTTTTCTGTTTCATGTTTATGATGAACCTGCAATCAGTTTTAAAAATACAAAAAAAGAATAATGTTGTGTGATGAAGTTGACTCTAGCACACAGAGGAAAAAAGTGAGGTTTTCCTGCTTAAGAAAACTGAAGAGCTGAATGCTGATTGGTGGTACTATTATCTTGACAACTAGTTGTATGAAGTTGACAGTGAAGAGGCTTCTGTTGAAAATTCTAAAGATTAGGTTTGTGTAATTTCAGCTAAAATATAGCACTATGGCAAGGATGTTACAGAGATAGTATTCTTAGAATAATTAACAATGTCTATTGTTCCTATGATTGTGGGTTTGAATCCAGGTTTTCCCTGATTATGTTTCCAGATTTGTCATCATCACAGGTTTCAAGAAAGTGGTAAATGTCAGAGACATGCCTTATTTCGGGTTTTCTCCCAAACATAGCTGCCACGCCATCATGTAACTGGAAAACTTTTCAAATGTACTTTGAACCGAACTTATTTACTCTTGGCACTGTCAACATCATCTGCTGAGAAGCCACTGGTCCAATGAAGCCGAACTTCACATACTTGTTCCCATCAGTGATGACACCTGAATTTGTTCTAGAGGTTCATAACAATTGAACTGTGTAACGGCTTGCTGGCAACGTTTACTTCTCTACATCATGTGGACAAGGCATCCGACCTCAGAAAGTCTAAGTTTCAAATCCAATAACAGAACTCTTGTTTTGACCATGCTCTTGAATTCTCTCAAAATGGCTGTGTGAATACATTTCCCCTCTGAAATTGCTAGACTGTGGAATTCCCAAGTTTGGCGTGTATGTTTTTTTTTATGAGGATAACATAAGATGTTCAAATCATTGGGATTTTAGGTATTAGTCGTCAGTATTTATGCTGAAAATATTTGAATATCAATGCTGACACTTGTTAAGTGTCTGTCATTGTTGACATTTAATACTGTTGTTTACATATTCAGGTGAGCTACAGTGTCATGGCACAATTTCTTATTTTTATCATTTTGCCTCGAACTCGGTTGGTGGGGTAGCCTAGTGGTTAAAGCGTTCCCTCGTCACGCCGAAGGCCCGGGTTTGATTCCTCACATGGGTACAATGTGTGAAGCCCATTTCTGGTGTCCCCCGCCGTGATATTGCTGGAATATTGCTAAAAGCATCATAAAACCAAACTCACTCACTACCTCCAACTCCATGTCATGTGTGTAACAAGGTATAACAATGGCGTGGACCCGACTTGATATGGCAGATACTGTATTCGACGTAATAAGCACCCCACTCTAATTAGCGCCCACGGCGATATTTGCTAATATATTGGCTGGTGAACAATCCCTAATAGCACCCCTTCCGATTGATCAATGTACACAAGACTTATTTATTCGTGTATCATATGTGTGTTATATGCATCCTTAGTTATGGGAAATTAAATTCTGGAAAGATATATCTGTCGTATATAAACATTTCAGGCTGTCAGCATAAACCACGAAATTTACGATCTTTCAACTCTGTTGTTTTTCACCAAAATAATATTCTAATAAGAGCCCCCTATTTCTAATTTTGAGAGCGCCCTGGGCGCTTATTATGTCAAATACGGCATATAGACTTGATAATACCCATGTGCTGATGAGTACAAGATTCAGAAACCATCTGATGTGAAGATGAGAACTATTTGTAATGTGATACCTTACGATGCAGACCAAAGCAAATTGTGTATTGTATTGCTGACTTCAGAATCACAGTGCATCACTACATTAGGAAACTTTTTTGTATTAAATCCACCAGAAAATGTCAAGATGGAGTAATGGCATACATCGAGTTACTGATTATTTGACATCCAATATGTTTCAGACCCAGAAGGCATTCCTGCCAGCAATGATAGAACACAATAAGGGCCACATTGTGAGTATCAGCTCAGTGCTGGGGCTCATGGGATTGAGCGGAGCTGGAGATTACGTTAGTGCTAAGTTTGGCTCGACAGGGATGGCGGAAGCGTTAAGTGATGAGCTTCGAGTCCTGGGCAAGACAGGAGTGAAGGTGACGAGTGTGCACCCGTACCATATTGATAACACGATGTTTGATGGACTGGAGTCAAGGTAAGCTGTTTGTGTAAGGTTGTTAAAAACAAATGGGTATTGGGCTGAAGTAATAGACAAAGTTGCATCCCTTAGCCATGCCAGGATGTGCTGGTCATGTGTTAGAAGTCCAGATTTTTCTTCATTGTCCCTCAGCTTCACTGACCCTTTATGGTGTATACCATGCCTAGTCTTCTGGTAGAACCTTTAGCGTCTGATATCGTCACTCAGATATCTAACTTCCATTTTGTTTGTTGTTTGACACCGCACTCAGCAATATTCCAGTTCTATGTTGGCAGTCTGTAATAATTGAGTCTGGACCAGACAATCCAGTAATTGATGTCAATGTATACAATTGGGATACAATGACATGCATTAACTAAGTCCTTCAGCCTGACCATCTGATCCTGTTAGTTGCCTCTTACGACGACTATAGTTTGCTGAAGATTTATTCTAACCTGGCTCTTCACGGGGGTAGAATGAACAGTATTGACAATGGTCCAAACAAGCTGATATTACTTGCAATATATATAAAATGGTTCAACTGCGAAATGAAATTTGATATGAGTCATTGTAAAGTGATGAGACTGTGTACTGGAATCTGATTGGCTGAAAAAACAGGATTCAAAGCCTGGAAATCTTAAGTTTTCACTGCATATGAATTTTTTTTGATTAATGTAATCTTTTTCTCAAAGCCAAAATTTGGTATTTGACCTAATCAATTTCTTTGATAAATATATAAGAGAACAACTTCCACTTAATTGATATTTCAAGTCTGGACATCAAATACAATAATACCAGCAAATTTGAAAACACATCATGTATATTTATTTTGTACTGGTATTGTGGCTTTTGGCCCGAATGAGAAATAAATCACACAATCACATTATGTTTATCTTCTAATTTGTTCGTCTTCATGCAGCATAACAATATGTTCCACAGGTAAATGTAGCAATTGTTTTTCACGTTTATGCAAGCACTGGAACCGTTCTTATTGCCAGACTATCCCGATGGTTGATTCCACCATTATCAGAAGACTACGTGGCGAATAAAACAATCCACGCTGTCCTCACCAACAGGTGCAAGATACTCATGCCGCGGGTGATGTACTTCCTCAACTGGTTTAAAAAGTAAGTAGCGTCGGTGCATTCAATTTTTATTTTTTATTTTTAACAAGTCTGAAGACTGACCTTGACACATGTTGCTTTTTCAGTGTGTCTCCCATTGATGTCACCATCGCACTTGCCCGTGTGACTGGAACTGACCGAGCTATGGATGGATTCAAGGGTCATGCCAGGGCCAGCTAAAGCAATCATATTTTTCAATTTTGATTTTTAATCGAAAAATATTACTTTGATTTAGAGTTAGTGTAAAAGGTTCAAAAAGCATTTTTTATGGTTTAAGAATGATTGAAAGCTCTGTTAATTTGTAATTTAATTGATCTGGTCCAATTTTAATGAAAAATACTGGAACCGTAAATTATATTCAAATCTTTCAAAACCTGAATTGCACACAATATTGTTTTGCAATATTAGGCTGTACACACAGAACAGCTGAGTGCCAGAGATTGCCAGTGATTCCAGTGCAGTGATGGGACCACAGTGCTTTCAATTGCTGAACCCAAAGATTCTTTCCAGTAAAATGTACTAACCGTATTCGACGTAATAAGCGCCCAGGGCACTCTCACAATAAGAAATAGGAGGATCTTATTAGAATATTAATTTGGTGAAAAATAATAGAGTTGAAAGATAGTAAATTTCGTGGTTTATGCTGACAGCCTGAGATGTTTATATACAACAGATATATTTTTCCAGAATTTAATTGCCTATAATTAGGGTGCATACTGCATTTAATACACGAGTGTGTATTATACACGAATAAAAAAGTCTTGTGTACATTGATCAATCGGAACGTATGCTAATTCGGATTGTTTACTAGCCAGTATATTAGCAAATATCGCTGTGGGCACTTATAAGAGCGGGCGCTTATTACGTCGAATACGGTAATGATTAATTTCTGAACAGTAAAATCCTTCAAATCTAAATGAATGGTAATATTAAGATGGGAATCGCTAAGACTGCATACCATTTCGACCCATCAAGATTGAATAAAAAGTAATGTTGAGACTATAATGCTATCACATCCATCAGAATGGTAATTTGAGACTTGAATCTCCATTACAAAAAAAATTCTTCAAAATTAAACGGATGATAAATTTAACCACAAGTCACAATGATAATTTTTGGGTGTTACCTAAAAAACAAATTTCATTAATCTGACCCTGAAGCTTGATGGTGTTTGCCTTACAACTGGTGGAAATGAATGTTTATAAGATGTTGCATCTGTTGTCGTGTTTGACCATTTCCCTTTGACCATTCTTCTCCCTTAAGTAGGTCATCAGTATCAAGATGCAAATATTTGCATGTCTATATTTATTTCTGTTTGTAGTTTTTCTGTCATCTTGCCTTGTTTTGTTTGTACCATTTGTTACAGGTTTGTTTTGTTTTATTTCAACAATACATTTTAAATGTGGAAATTTATTGATTTAAATTAATGTAGTTGTTTTTGTTTCAACTGAGAAACTTTGATGTTAGCATTTGATATATTTAATTACTCTTGTTTAATTTGTGTGCCATATTCCATCACAGAAAAAACATTATGTGTTGGGGAAATAGTATATTTTACAGCTGCACTACAAAGCAAGGTCCCAACATTCTGGGAGTTTGGTGATATCACTGACCAAAGACGTATATAGATACGTCTTTGCACTGACACAGTTGACACAAAGTTTCTTCTTTTTCGATGGGCATTTCAATTGGTTTCAGTAAAACATTTCAAAGCTCCACAGATTTGGTTTGACAAATCCCTGTTACCATGGTTACAAGACAGTATATTGAGATGTGTCACATGGTATGGCAGATTACTATAGTTATATGAAAGAATCGGGTGTTGTTTAACTTCTTTTGAGTAGTATAATTATATTGAGACACTATATTTGTGCTATTTTGCATTTAAATCTCTACACTGCATGTTGGCCTGTTGGGAAGACGTTTCTATCAACCAGTTAGTGTTTTACTTACATTAATTAAGGCTCATTCTAGTTGTGTTATGTGAGCAGATTTAGATTCTTTCATAAATATTGCTTTATGAAATTCAATACAGATTTATGCCACGAATTGATATATGGGTGTCCAGATCATGTGTCATATCATAATCTTTACGATGTGTCACTAGATGCTAGAATAAGGACCAAAAAATCATGTGTCAAAATAATGTCATCTGGACCATTTATTGCACTTCCCAACTGTTAAACCACTTCCCAACTGTTAAACCACTTCCCAACTGTTAAACCACTTCCCAAATGTTAAACCACTTCCCAACTGTTAAACCACTTCCCAACTGTTAAACCACTGGGGGGCACGGGTGGCCCAGTCGTCTCAGGCGCTGTGACTCGCTGTGCAGAGTTATGTCCCTTGTAAACACCAGAAACCTATGATTGTGGGTTCGAATCCTGGTTCGCCCCGATTATGTTTCTAGGTTTGTCAGCACCATTCCTGTGCTCGTGGTAAATGTCTGAGACCTGCATCACTTCAGGCTTTCCTCCCACATTAAGCTGACATGCCGTGATATAACTGGAATACTGTTAAAAGCGGAGTTAAACCCAACTCACTCACTCACTCATTGTTAAACCACTATACAAATGTTAAACCACTGTACAACTGTTAAACCACCACCCAACTGTTAAACCACTATACAAATGTTGGACCAATATACAACTGTAGAAAAAGTTTATGAAAGCTACACAAATATTTGCGCACCAGATTGCAATTGTTATCTGACTGTGCAAGCGTTTATGACTCTACAACTGTTAGGTGTGTGCAAAAATGCTGAAACGTGCAGAACTTGACAACACTGAGATTCCCCAGACAATTGATAGTTACCTGACCACAATGCTGAAACATGCAGACCTGGACAACACTGAGATTCCCCATACAACTGATAGTTACCTGACCACAATGCTGAAACATGCAGACCTGGACAACACTGAGATTCCCCATACAACTGATAGTTACCTGACCACAATGCTGAAACATGCAGACCTTGACAACACTGAGATTCCCCATACAACTGATAGTTACCTGACCACAATGCAATATTAAACCCCTCACTTACTCTCAGTACCATGGAAACAAGTTTGTGATTCTTAGCTGTTGTGGAAAAAGAATACTTACATTATTCTTTAATGTCCAATGTTTTTGTTGCCACATTAATTATATGTTTAATCTGTATTTTATTGCAACTTCATTTTAACATTGTTGTTTCATTCTCTGTGCCATTTTGTTCCTTGTGTGATCGTTACTTTGAATTTAGCAATGTTTAGTTTAATATTTGTGAATGATACCAAAGAGGATGCTACAACGCCATGTTTAAAGCCATGACTGCACCAGGTACATCAACTGGGTATATCTCAGGGAGTTTTAGAGAGGTATAGATGTCATTTTTGCTTCATTTTATGGTTTACAGATTTATAGCGTACCTATTAGCTTGGGTAGGTTGGATTACAACATGATTCATTGATGTAGCTCAATGTTACTATTTTTAAATTGGCATTAAGTTGTTTGGGTAGGTCGGAATTGATGGACAGGATAATGCGTGTTCTGTTAATCTTTTACAGTAACATGTATATGGATCTATTTGTGACAGGGGGCACGGGTGGCCCAATCTTCTAAGGCTCCGGGATTCGATGTGCAGAGTTGCGTACCGCATACCCGTGCTCGTGGGTTTCAGTGGTTAAAGTCTCAGACCTGCATCACTTCGGGCTTTCCTCCCACATTAAGCTGACACACCGTGATATAACGGGAATAATGTTAAAAGCGGTGTTAACCCCAACTCCCTCACTCTACTTGTGACAGAGAAGGCTTTGTTCTGAGGTGAGGTGAGGAGAAGTTGGGTTTAACGTTGCGTCAAGATTATTGCACTTATATAGCGACGTGCATGTGTGTGTGTGTGTGTGTGTGTGTGTGGCTGCTTGTACTAGTCCCGACTGTTGCCGATTTATAGTGCTAGCTCACTGAGATACCATGCCGCAGTTTAACATGAATACCCCACTCAGACACAGTATACTGACTCGAGGCGACCAGTCCTCGTTTTAGCCCCTAATGCCGAGCGCCAGACAGGGTAACAACAAGTACCATCTTTTAACGTCTTTTGGTATGACGCAGCCGGGGATCGAACCCCAGACCTTCCACTCTCCGGACGGACGCTCTACCACAAGACCACGGAGGCTGTTGCTTTGTTCTGATGGTGTATGTGAACTATGAGAATATATAAACTGCCAGTCAAAAGAAAGTATACACCCATGTTGTTTGCATCTCTCTCAAATTGTTTTGGGCAACAATCTGACCACTGACCCTTTCTTATGATTCATCTTCCTCCCCATATCCTCATCAGAACCACCCACATGTTGAATGTTTTTTATATTTCCAGATTAAGACCAACTCCAGACAGAGTACACTTGTTGTGACAATGTGTTGTCATTGTTTCATGTTTGTTGTATTGATACATTTTAAAGTGTGTTGTGTTTACTTCCAAGCATCAAGCAAACCTGTCGATATTACCTGCAATATTCCTGCAATAAAGACACTGCTGAATTTTGACATTTACGTTTTGGGGTTTTTAGTTACCGTAGCAACCATGGTGAACATTTTGTTACTGATTATTTCATGGGTGACTGTGTTCTGTGAGAGCGGAATGTCTAGGGGAGAGTTACGGGGATATTCACCTCCTTAAACACATCCCTATCTTTACACTTTGACAAAACATTCTCTTGTGGAAAATATGTTAAAATTAGACCAGAAAGATTAAAAGCGTGTATTCATACTGTGTGAGTCAACCTTGCATGATTGCACGTTGAATACGTTCCCCATCACTGTTGCACATGCACCAGCTCCGCCACGTGATGATCTTCACAATGCATGGTACGCGGCTCTTTACAATGTCTTGGGGCCCTAAACTTGTATTTTAACCAATTTTGTAAAACACGCCGACAAGGATTACAGGAATAGAGGATATATAAGTTTACCTGACAGCCAGATGATCCAAAACAGCTTGGGGGATATTGTTCCAAATTTCATCCTAATATTGGACCAACTGATCTAGCGTTACCAGAAAGATGCTGGTCCAGAGCCTGTCGTAGCAATGTTATGCTGCCTCAAAAAGTCTGTTAGAACAGGTGCAACACGTGGGCGGGCATTATCCTGCTGTAACGTGACGTTACGTCCCTGCATTTGCACAAAGGGTAGAACATGATCTCGACAATATCTCCCGAGTAGTGCACGCCATTAACAATGATGAGTTGTGTTCTCCCCTGAGTTGTGATGTCACCCCAGACCATTACACTTCCACCCCCAAAACTGCCCACGTTGAGTAAGTCCAACGTCACTACAACGTTCTGGATGCTTGCAGACCCTTGAACAACCATCCGAACTGTCCAGACTAAATCCGGACTTATCTGTGGACAGTATACTGTCCGCGCTAAATTTCCGATCCAAATTCAATTTAGCCCGATTAAATCAACAGGTAACCTTGCTCTACATTGAAAACAATGTATGTCTATCTCCCGGATGTACCATGCCCCAGTTTAAACTATTTTTATACACTGACCCAGAGCTGACCAGTCCTTGTTTTTGCCCCTAAATGCCGAGCGCCAGGCAGGGTAACAACAAATACTTTTAACGTATTTTGGTATGACGCGGCCCTGGGATCAAACCCCGGACCTTCCGCTCTCCAGGCAGACGCTCTACACTGGACCACGGAGGCGGTCGCTTTTATATGGAAACTTAGAAACGCTGCTAGCAGAAATATGTTGTTATGAAAAGATCATTATGGTAATGACAACACTGTTGTGGCAATGGCAACACTGTTGTGGCAATGACAACACTGTTGTGGTAATGACAACACTGTTGTGGCAATGACAACATTGTTGTAATGACAACACTGTTGTGGTAATGACAACACCGTTGTGGTAATGACAACACCGTTGTGGTAATGACAACACCGTTGTGGCAATGACAACACTGTTGTGGCAATGACAACACTGTTGTGGTAATGACAACACCGTTGTGGCAATGACAACACTGTTGTGGTAATGGCAACACCGTTGTGGCAATGACAACACTGTTGTGGTAATGACAACACCGTTGTGGCAATGACAACACTGTTGTGGTAATGACAACACCGTTGTGGCAATGACAACACCGTCGTGGCAATGACAACACCGTTGTGGCAATGGCAACACTGTTGTGGCAGTGGCAACACTTGTGGTAATGACAACACTGTTGTGGCAATGACAACATCGTTGTGGCAATGACAACACCGTTGTGGCAGTGGCAACACTTGTGGCAATGACAACACTGTTGTGGCAATGACAACACCGTTGTGGCAGTGGCAACACTGTTGTGGCAGTGGCAACACTTGTGGTAATGACAACACTGTTGTGGCAATGACAACATCGTTGTGGCAATGACAACACCGTTGTGGCAGTGGCAACACTTGTGGCAATGACAACACTGTTGTGGCAATGACAACACCGTTGTGGCAATGACAACACTTCTGGTAATGACAACACCGTTGTGGCAATGACAACACCGTTGTGGCAGTGGCAACACTTGTGGTAATGACAACACTGTTGTGGTAATGACAACACCGTTGTGGCAATGACAACACCGTTGTGGCAGTGGCAACACTTCTGGTAATGACAACACCGTTGTGGCAATGACAACACCGTTGTGGCAGTGGCAACACTTGTGGTAATGACAACACTGTTGTGGCAATGACAACACTTCTGGTAATGACAACACCGTTGTGGCAATGACAACACCGTTGTGGCAGTGGCAACACTTGTGGTAATGACAACACTGTTGTGGTAATGACAACACTGTTGTGGCAATGACAACACCGTTGTGGCAGTGGCAACACTTCTGGTAATGACAACACCGTTGTGGCAATGACAACATCGTTGTGGCAGTGGCAACACTTGTGGTAATGACAACACTGTTGTGGTAATGACAACACCGTTGTGGCAATGACAACACTGTCGTGGCAATGACAACACTGTTGTGGTAATGACTGCACAAAATACCTTCAGACTACTAGAAGTGGTATGACATTGCAGTGAAATGCATTTGAAATTATCCCTTCAAACCTAAAAAAAACCAAATTTGCAATACAGTAAACTACCCTTAAAACGAACTCAAAGGGACCACTAATTTTAATTCGTTATAACCGTAGTTATAAGCATATGTGCAACATCTATAAAGAAAATGGACGGCACCAAGAAACAGTTCGTTACATCAGACAGTTCGTTATAAGCCTGTTCGTTATAACCGTAGTTTGCTGTGTATATTTTAGCCGTAAAATCATGCTGGAGTCATAACCGAACCAGCACATTACGCTGTAGTGATGATTTTTTCTGGCAAGTCCAGTTCAGAAGAAAATGCCCAAAGTAACTGTCAATGTACATTAACCTGTAGG